AATTGTGCACCTGAAACTTGTGTAATTTTGTTAATGTCACCGTAATAAATTCCATAAAAAGGAAAATAAATACTTTTTAAAAGACATGCTAGACATGGTTATGGTAATAGGTAATTAGGCCAGTATAATTATCATATGATTCAGAACAAAGTGATCTTGGGATCCTGGGTTGCCCATTACAAAAATATAGAGCAACCCACTAAGATCGCTTAAGATATAAAAACAGCCGAAACCGGTTTGGCTCAGTGGATAGAGTGTGGGTCTGCGGACTCAAAGGTCCCAGGTTCGATTCCGGTCAAGGGCATGTACATTGGTTGCGAGCACATCCCCGTTAGGGGGTATGCAGGAGCAACTGATCGATTTCTCTCTCTCATCGATGTTTCTAGCTCTTTATCCCTCTCCCTTTCTGTAAAAAATGAATAAAAATATATTTTTTAAAAAAAGAGTATTTACTTAAAAAAAAAAAAAAAGATATAAAAACAAAAGAGCCCTAGCTGATTTGGCTTTGGCCTGCAGATCCACGGTTGCAGGCTCCTCCCCAGCCCGGGCCCTGGTCAGGGCTTGTGCAGGAGGCAGCCAATACATGTGTTTCTCTTACATTGATGTTTCTATCTTTCCCTCTCTTCCACTCTTTCTAAAAATCAGTGGAAAAATATCCTTGGGCAAAGATTAACAATAAATAAATAAAAACAAAAATATGAACAAAACAACAAAAACCCTTATTTCTAAAGAACAAAGGCATAGCCCCAGACTGTTTGCGGAAAGACCATCAGCCTGGGGAATGTTTGATTCCTCCGTTGCAGGCTCAATTCCTGCCCCTGGTTGGGGTGTGTATGAGGGCAACCAATTGATGTCTCTGTCTCTCTCCCACTCCTAAAAATCAATGGGAAAATGTCCTCAGGTGAGGATTAACAAAAAATTTTTAAAAGCATAAAATAAGCTGCCACAATACAGTAAAAAACAAAAACAATAAAAACCAGTGCCCAGATAGGAGTCAGTTCACATACCGGGGATGTGCCTGCAACCAATGTGACATGCCCTTGACCAGAATTGAACCTGGGACCTTTCAGTCCGCAGACCGTTCGTCTATCCACTGAGCCAAACGGGTTTCGGCAGGACAACACTTTTGAGGATTACTGAACATCGGCTCTGAGCTACAATTAATCCATGGATTAACTTACTATGGCCCACTGGTCAGAATGAGAATGAAGGTTGGTCATGTGAAAGAACAAGAAGAAATCAGTACTTACATCTATAGTATCAGAGTTGATGGAAGAGAGTGCCTACAGATGTATGCTCTCAGATACACCTTCTTTGATTAGTCTTGGCTTTTTCCCACCAAAATTTCCCCCAAATATCCATTTGCATGGCCAGGTAGCCAGTTGCTGCTGTAATGGCTGAGTTAAGACTGAACTCTAGAGGTCTGTTCACAGTTTCACGGGGCATAGAAAACTTGTCCCAAAACAACTCATTACCCTCAGAGAGCTTGAAGAACAAAATAATGGTGGCCTCACAGTGGCTGGGGAATGGGAGTAGGGGTCTCTACTTGGGTATTACCCACCCCAACACTTATACACATGTAAGCTGAAGATGCCTGCACATTATTTGGGTCTCAGCTCAAATGCCACCTTATTGGGATCGCCCTGAAGACATAAAGCAGGAGGTCCCAATTCCCTGCCCCTAGTTTTATTGTTCTCCATAGCAATCAACATTTGACAAATTTTAAGTTTTATTTTTTGTCCACCTTTCTAGAATGGAAGCGTCATGAGTATGGGAAATTTTACCTACTCCGCTTGCCCCAGATCTAGCCCAAAGTCACTGTCAATCTTGCAAGCTGTAGTGACTGTGCCTGGTGATGGTTTCAACGGACTAGATCTGGGGCAGAATTTTGGGTGAAGTTCTTGGCTGTGTAGCTTCCAAGCCTGATACCTACCCTTACCAGAAAATTCTGAGAATCACCCAGCATCTTTTTAATGAAAATTCCTTTTCTTTTCTCCTATAAAAGTTTAACTTGAGGGGGGGGGGGGCTTTGAGCAAGCTTTTTCTCTTTCTGGAGCACACTCATGCCTTTCCCCCTCTTCTTTCCCCAGATACGGTCTCTTTTTCCTAAGCTCCAAGCGTTCTTTTGCCTCTGTAACTGATTTCCTGAGTCCACGCAGGCCCAGCTGGCTCACCTTTTCTTTTTAACCTCTGTGACTTTCTAAATAAGCTTTCTCTTATAATTTTTTTTTAAAAAAGGTCTGAGTTAGATTGTGTGGGGTCAAATAGCAGCTTTGCCAATTCCCAGTTGGCTAAATCATGAAACTGCTCTGAGATTTCCCCCACATTTTTAAGTTGGTAAAATCAGAGTACTACATCATAGGACTGTGGTGAGATCAAATGAAATACTATCTGTAAAATGCCCTACGATGTAGTTCCCACACTTGCAACCCCAGCTTATGTAAGGCCAACAGAAGTGTTTTTGACAAACAGTGCTGTGTTTAACTGGCTGCTAACATTTAAGTTATGGCATTTCATAAAAATTCTGGATTTATAACTTTTTAAAAAAAATCAGGAGCTCTGTGCTCGCTTCGGCAGCACATCACATATACTAAAATTGGAATGGTACAGATGTTAGCATGGCCCCTCCACAAGGATGACGTGAAAAATCTAGAAACGGTCCATATTTTAAAGGGAAAAAAAAACACACAAAAATCAGAAGCTCTGACAACACTGGCATGACACTCATACTTTGCAACAATGAGATTGTGTTGAGTTGTCTATCTCCTTTGGAGGAGGTGGGAATTCACTGCCTGATTCCATCTATTACCTGCCTGGTCCCAGCTGTAGGTTTGAATGTGTAGCCCTGTACTAGGAATTTAAAGATTTTCTAGAGCTGCAAAATTTAAAAGTTCAGCTAAATTGTCTCTAAGAAACTTTTCAGACTGATTTGGTTTTTGATTGCTGCACAGAAATCAAAACATAGTAGGATTATTCCTAAACAACTGACATTTTGTTATCTTTAATGTTTCTTTGGATTGACTGGGTTTCGGTGGGCAATTCTCTGCTCCATATGATGTCGATTTAGATAGCAGTCATTTGGGGGTGCCTCTAGATTGGGACATTTAAGATGTCTCAATTACATAGTGGGTAATTAGTGCTGTCAGCTGAGGCTAAGCTGGGCCAATCTTGAGGCTTTCCTAGCTTGGTAACTAGATAAGAATGTGGAAGTGAAAGTTGCCAGTTTCAAGGCCTGGGATTCCATAGAAGTCCCAGAATGTCATTTCTGCTACATTCTATTGGTCAAAGCTAGTCACAAGACTTGTCAGACTCATGCATGCGATGGGAAATAAGCGTTTCCTCTTCATATAAGGAGCAACACACACACACACCACTTTTGGGAGGGCGGCATCTATGGAGGCTAGTGGCTACATAAGAGCTAATTTTTAAAATTAAATATTTTTATTGATATCAGAGAGGAAGGGAGAGGGAGAGAGAAACATCAATGAGAGAGAATCATTGACTGCCTCCTGTATGGCCCCTACTGGGGATTAAGCCCTAAATCATAGGTGGATACTCAACTACTGAGCCACACTGATCGGGCAGAGGGTGAGAGGGAACATGATGGTGAGAGATGAAGGTTGAAATAAGAGGTCCAATAGTCTGAACATTGAGAGGCGGTGGGGAGCCACTAAGATTGTAATCAAGTGTTAAACCCGCTGTGTCTCAGAGAAGTGACTTGTCCAAGTCCTATAATTAGGAACAGAATCAGAAAAATGAACTAATCATTCCCAGTTAACCAGTTCCTAACGCACTAAGCAGTAACTCCACGCGGTCCCGTGTTTACCACTGAACCACAAATCAGAAGACAAGGCGCACTTCCGCAGGCGCCACTGGCTCTGCGGAAATAGCCTCAGCCCTTCAACCGGAAGCACAAAGTGACCGCTGCTTACGCCACCTAACGGTCGACCGGAGGCAAAGTCCGTGTGGAGTGCCTTGGCACCGGAAGGGGACGGCTGTTTCCGGTAAGGATCCCAAGGAGCAGAGGCTAAAAGGGCGATTCACGGAGACTCGGCCAGTGTGTCCTGCGTGCTCGGCGCCGCAACGTCGCGAGTCTGCTTCTGCGCAGGCGCGGGGACCACCGCGCGGGGAACGCGTGTGCCCGACCGTGCGCGCGCCCGGTCTCCGTTGGGCGCGGCGGTGCCGTTCGGAGGGTAAAGCCTTTGGAGCTGTAACGCAGCCTTTTGTTCTCTTAACTACAACTCCCAGCATGCCTCGTCCCCCATGTTGCTACTAAGTGCGGTCTACCAGGATAGGTTAAGAAAGAACGTCAGGGATCATGACGTACCAAAAGGGAAAAAAATTGAATACGTCGTTTCAGGCCATCGTTCACAGAAGCCCCAGTGGCCTAATGGATAAGGCATTGGCCTCCTAAGCCAGGGATTGTGGGTTCGAGTCCCATCTGGGGTGGCGAGGCATTTTTTTTCTTTGTTCTCACTTCTTAAGCAATTGTAGTGAAATATGCTAACTTCATTATACTTTTTATAAATAAGACATGCCTGTGTGGTTTTCCTAGGTGTTGGGTTACTACTAGAGTCAGCATACTCCATTCTCTTTCTCTGATTTGGGGAAGTCAATACGTTGAATTTTGTTGTCCCCTTTAGAAACAATGTCTGCCCAGCGTGTTCTGTTTCAAATCAACACCCATTTGCGCCAGACTCTCTATTTCTCGAGGCTGAAAAGGTCGGTTAAGCTGAGGGGATCTCAAATGGCGCCATCAAGAAAGGGCTTCCTTTCCCCTCGCCCAACTCGGCACTCGGCTTTCCCTTAACTCCTTCGGGCGCCGCTCGGCGTTCGATTACTAAGGCTGCGCAGGGGAGGGCAGTGAACCTTCCCGCTGTTTTGCAATCGAGGAGAGGAGCCGGGTGGGCACGACCGTACCATTGAGTGACTGGGCCTAGGGGAGAAGGCGCTACAGGGGCGCTGGGCGGCGCAGGACACCGGGCTCCGAGGACGCGGAAATGGCGGCGCTCGGGCCGCCGGCGCGCACCCTGCGCGGTCTTCTACGGGAGCTGCGCTACATGAACGCAGGCACCGGCCGACCCTACCGCGACACCGCGGCCTATCGGTACCTCGTGCAGGCTTTCCGCGCCCATCGGGTATGGAACCCTGACCCGCGTGCTCCGCGCCCCTTCCCGGGGTGGGCGGGGGAGCCGGGTTCGGGCGGCGCGGAGAGCGCCGGGCCTGAGCGCCTGCCTTTCTGAGGCCGACCCTCCCCACCCAGCCCGGGTTCCGGCCGGGAGAGCCCGGCTCTGCCTCTCTGGGCTCCGACCCATGGCCTAAGCCCAGAGCCTGACCCCGGGCCGCGGGAGGGCAGAGCCACCGGGGAGGAGCTGTCCCCGAGGAGTTCATTGGCTGTCTTCTGTATGAATGAAGGAGAAAGTCGGAGGAAAGAGAAACGAGAAAACGGGGGGGGGGGGGGGGGGGGGGGAAGCGTGTAGCCGAAACCGGTTTGGCTCAGTGGATAGAGTGTCGGCCTGCGGACTGAAGGGTCCCAAGTTCGATTCCGGTCAAGGGCATGTATATTGGTTGTGGGCGCATCCCCAGTGGGGGGTAAACAGGGGGCAGCTGATCAATGATTCTCTCTCATGATGTTTCTAGCTCTCTATCCCTCTCCCTTCCTCTCTGTAAAAAATCAATAAAAATATATTTAGAAAGAAAGAAAGAAAGCGTGTAGGGTCCCTAGCCGCCGCATCTATCCATTTCACTGCCCATTCCCTAATAAAGCTATTCTCAGAAGCAACTTTTGAGGCAGAAAGAGAAGCTATAACAGGACATGAAATATTGGCAGCTTCCTGAAGAGCAGGCACTGTTACTTAGGTTGTATCCCCTTACCAAATAGATGGTGCCTTGTAAAGGGAATTAGAAACTTGTCATGAAGTGGCACTGTCCGTTAAGACATTAGCGTGATGTATGTCCAGATAGGTTTTGTCCTTCTGTAGCTGATAAATCTGAACATATGGGGAAACGTACTTGAGAAATTCCTTTTAAAAAATGTATATATATTATTGATTTTTTACAGAGAGGAAGGGAGAGAGATAGAGAGCTAGAAACTTCGATGAGAGAGAAACATCGACCAGTTGCCTCCTGCACACCCCCCACCGGGGATGTTCCCACAACCAATGTACATTCCCTTGTCCATAATCGAACCTGGGACCTTTCAGTCCCCAGACGGACGCTCTACCACTGAGCCAAACCCGCTTCGGTGAGAAATTCCTTTGTTAAATCCACACTCCATATCACCCTTAGGCAAGAGCGATGAAAGATAGTTTCATTTTCCTTTTTTTTTTTTTTTTAATATATTTTATTGATTTTGTACAGAGAGGAAGGGAGAGAGAGAGCTAGAAACATCAATGATAGAGAGTCATCGAACAGCTGCCTCTTGCACACCCCCTACTGGGAATGTGCCCACAACCAAGGTACATGCCCTTGACCAGAATCGAACCGGAGTCCCTTCAGTCCCCAAGCCTACGCTCTATCCATTGAGCCAAACCGGTTTCGGCGATAGTTTCATTTTTCAAATGGGGTAACAGAGACTCAGGGTCAGCCACCCTTTCAAGGACACGTATAAGAACAACTAAGATGTAGGTTACCTAGTTCCCAAATAAGAGTCCATTAACTCCTTTGAAGTTAGGGGTCTGGCTAGGAGAGAGATTGCAGCCTCAGAAATAATAAATTGGAGAGTCAGTTTTGGTTCTATGGAAGGAAAATACCGTCCTTTGAACAATGTGGGAAACTGGAGACCACTAACCTAAATATTGAATTTCTGAGCCATGGAAGTTAGAATGCAAAATGTCAGAACTAAAATTTAGCTACTTATTCAAAAGTCTGACAAGAGACTATTAGGAACTGACAAGTGAATCATTGATCTGCTGCCTCCTGCTTGTCCCCCACTGTAATCAAACCCAGTGTAAGGGTGGGAGAGAGAGGGATGGGAGAGAGAATGATTGATGTTCGAGAGATACAATAACTTAATTGGCTCCTGATGGTGCTGGGAATTGAACCTGCAACCCAGGTACAAGCCCTGCCCTGGGAATCAAACTCGGAAACCTTCAGCACCAGGGCCAACACTATCCACCGAAACACACTGGCAAGGCATACTGTTATATTTTGATTGACCCTTCTCTCCAAGGGGGTCATGATTAAGGCCTAAGTCAAAGACAGTATTCTTTTGTCCCATATCAGTGGTCAGCAAGCTCATTAGTCAACAGAGCCAAATATCAACAGTACAATGATTTAAATTTCTTTTGAGAGCCAAATTTTTTAAACTTAAACTTCTAATGGCACTTCTTCAAAATAGACTCGACCAAGCTGTGGTATTTCTGGAAGAGCCACACTCAAGGGGCCAAAGAGCCGCATGTGGCTTGCGAGCAGGAGTTTGCTGACCATGGACCTATACTAACATAGAATTCTTGTTTCAGATCTTATCAATTTAGGTTTATACACATGAGTATTACCCTTTCTTGATGTTTGACATTGGTGTTAATTTCAAATTTTTAATTATAAAAAAATTTTTTTTAATTGATTGCCCTGGCCAGTGTAGCTCAGTTGTTGGAGTGTCAGCCTGTGCACTGGAAGGTCTCAGGTATAATTCCCAGTCAGGACACATACCTAGGTTGAGGGTTCAATCCCCAGTCAGGGCAGATAAGGGAGGCAATTGATCAATCTATCTCTTTCACATTGTTTCTCCCACTCTAAAATTTAAAAAAAAAAAATTTTAATTTTATTAAAGGGGATGAATTTTGCCTTTTTGAGCAGCTTATGAGTGGATTTTCCCGTATGTGATCTGCAGATCTTCAGCCACACTCTAAATAAAGGTTAAAGAAAGGGGATTCTGTAGGCAGTGGTGCCAGAGATTAATGGACACTGGACAGGGCTCCTTGAGTCATTAGAGGCTATACACACATCTCCATCTCTGCCTTCCTGCCCCTTTCTCACACCCTCAGACTATTCAAGTAAAAGACGGTGGAATAATTTCCTTCATCTGGAAATTATGATGAAGAAACAGGGTTTAGAGAACTTCAGAATGGCTATGCAGTCTTCTGCTCCTTAAGGTCATCAGAATCCATATTTTTCAGGTGGATAAGTAAATTGTGAAAGTGAGTATAAGTAATATGAAAATGTACGTGTGGTTTTTTAAAAAATATATATTTTATTGATTTTTTACAGAGAGGAAGAGAGGGATAGTGACCTAGAAACATCAATGAGAGAGAATCATGGATCAGCTGCCTCCTGCACACCCCCCACTGGGGATGTGCCCGCAACCAAGGTACATGCCCTTGACCGGAATCGAACCTGGGACCTTTCAGTCCACAGGCTGACGCTCTATCCACTGAGCCAAACTGGTTTCGGCAAAAATGTACATGTTTTATATGTAAAACTATTTTGTTACTTTGAGGACAAAGCTGTTTTGCAGACAAAATGAATTTTGTTTTCATTGAAATGAAAGGCATATTCCACATTAACCAAAGTCCACAGTCATGAAAAGCATCCCTTCATTGGTTTGAAGGGGAAAAAATACTACATTATATTTCTGAAGTGATATTAATGATCAGTGACCTGATTATAATTACCCACCTCTGCCATTGACCAACCACCCAGCCTCTCTGGGCTTTAGTTTTCTTATTTGTAAAATGAGAGAATTGAAGCTAGATGACTTCCTTCTAAAATGTGCAGTCACTTGTGCGGTTCCATAGTGTAAAATGTGCAGTCACTCAATGAAACATCCCAGTGAAACTTTGTAAAACTCCTTTTTTTCTTCCCACCTTTAAAAAAAAAATTATTTGTTGATTTTGGAGAGAGAGAGAGAAGTCAATGTGTTTTTCCACTTATTTATGTAGTCATTGCTTCTTGCATATGCCCTGATGGTATGGAACCCAACACCTTGGCATATTGGGAGGATGCTCTAACCAACTGAGCCACCTGGTGTAAAACTTGTCAGTGAACTGGAGGTCAACTTTCCTAAAAAATCAACAATTATAGAGTTCCTCTGTATATTTATTAAGTATATACAAATACATGTTTCTATTTCCTCTCTGCAATTTTCTTTCATTCTAGAGAATGTTTATTATATCTTACTCTTTGGCTATTAGCTGGGCTGTTGATAAAGTATCTGTCTTTGCTACTTCTCTAGGTCACCAGTGAGAAGCTGTGCAGAGCCCAACATGAGCTCCATTTCCAAGCTGCCACCTATCTCTGCCTCCTTCGTAGCGTGCGTGAACATGTGGCCCTTCATCAGGAATTTCATGGCAAGGGTGAGCGCTCAGTGGAGGAGGCAGCTGGCTTGGTGGGTCTCAAGTTGCCCCATCAGCCCGGAGGGAAGGGCTGGGAGCCATGAAAATGGAGAGATGCTGCCTTCATACAAGAATTTAATTATTTATATTGATATGTATTTATCATTAAATTTTATTTAAAGTTTAGGGGTTTTCTCTGTAATTTTGTTGTCCAAGTGTTTCTTTTTTTTGCAGTCTTTTTTTTTTATTTAAGAAAAACGATTTTAAATATAATAATGTTACATGCAATAAACCTTAATGTTTCAAGAAAACGATCTTAAATATAATATTACATGCAATAAGCACTACTTCAAGATAAACGATTTAAAATATGTTACATGCAATAAACACCAATTATTCAAGAAAAATGATCTTATATATTATATTACATGCAATAAACATTAATATTTCAAGAATAAAAGGATTTTAAGTTTAATAACATTACCAACACTGTACTAACATAGTATGGTATTACAAAAGTTGTAGGAAATATTAAAAACTGCAAATAATAGGTTTCTATTTTAGACTATTCCCCCCATTTTTTAAAATTCTTTGTTTAAAGTATTACATGAGTCTCCTTTTTTCCCCATTGACCTCTCCTCACCACCACCTCCCCTAAGCTCAAGCCCTCACCCCCGCTACTGTCTGTATTGATTGGTTTTGCTCATATGCATGCATACAAGTCCTTTGGTTGATCTCTTACCCATCACTCCCCTTCCCCCCACCTTCCCTCATAGGTTATTCAGTCTGTTGGATGTTTCTGGTTATATTTTGTTTATCGTTTTTTGTTGTTCATTATATTCCACTAATGACTGAAATTGTATTATATTTATTTCTCTCCAACTTGCTTATTTCATTTAGCATGATTCTTTTAAAGTCTATTTTGTCAGATATACATATTGCTACTCTAACTTTTTTTTCTTTTCCATTTACATGGAAATTTTTTTTCCATCTTTTCATCTTGTGTCTTGTTTTGAGGTGGATCTCTTTTAGATAGCATTTAATTGGGTTATGTTTTTGTATCCATTCAGCTATCCTACACCTTTTGATTAAAGCATTTAATCCATTTACATTTGGAGTTATTTTTAAAATATATTCTATTAATTTTTTACAGAGAGGAAGGGAGAGGGTTAGAGAGAAACATCCATCAGCTGCTTCCTGCACACTGCCTACTGGGGATGTGCCTGCAACCAAGGTACATGCCCTCGACCAGAATCGAACCTGGGACCCTTGAGTCTGCAGGCCGATGTAGAGTTATTATTGAGAGGTATTTATTTATATCAATTTTAATTTTGTATGGCTAGATTTTTCTCTGTTTCTTCTTCTCAGCAATCTTTTACAGCAACCCCTTTAGCATTTCTTGTAATGCTGACTTGGTAGTGATTAACTCCTTTAGCTTTTTTCTTGTCTGGAAAGCTCTTTATTTGACCTTCTATTTTGAATGCTAGTCTGGCTGGATATAGTCATCTTGGTCTCAAATCCTTGTTTTCCATTACCTTGAGTACTTCATGCCATTCCCTCTGGCCTGTAGAGTTTCTGATGAGAAATCAGGTGTCAGCCTTATGGAAACTTCTTTGTATATAACAGTTTTCTCTTGCTGCCTTTAAGATTCTCTGTCTTTAATTTTTTGCATTTTAATTATTATGTGTTTGGGCGTGGGTCTGTTTGGGTTCTTGTTTGGGGTTTTCTGTGCCTCCTACGCTTTATTGACTTTTTCCCTTACCAGGTTAGGGAAGTCTTCTACCATTCTTTCTTCAAACAGCCTCTATTCCTGTCTGCCTCTTCTGCTAAAGGGATTGTTACATTGCACATTGTCCCACAGCTCCCATAAAGCTGTCTGCCTGTTTTTTTATTTTTTATTTTTGTTGTGTTTCTCTAATTGAGTGATTTTTTTCAACTCTGTCTTCTAATTCACTGATTCAATCCTCAGCTTCCCCTAATTTGCTGTGTATTCCTTCCAGTATGTTCTTTACTTGTGTTATATAATTCTTTATCTCAGACTGTTCTTTTTTTGTAGTTACTATATCTTTTTTTCATACTGTTGGGCATTTTTAGCATCATTCCTCTGAACTCTGTTTCAGATAAATTTCTTATCTCTGCTTCATTTATCTCTTCTGGAGAATTCGCTAGTTCTTTCATTTGATGGTTGTTTCTTTGTTTCCTCATTTTGGTTGTCTGTTTGGGTTTGTGACTATGTTTTAGGTAGATCCTCTGTACCTCTCAGTCTCTTGTGCAGGATAGTGTTAAAGGCTGTTTCTGACTAATTGGATCAGGCAAAGACTCAAAGCCTCCAGAGACCACCTCTGCTACTGAGTAGTAGGATTCCAGACTTGAATTGCCCACAAGCAATCTTCCTCAGGTGTGGCAAGTTTTTTCAACAGGGTGGGACATTTGCTTCTGCCTGGAGGCTAATTGTTACTTTTAATCTCTTAAGTGGTCTCTGGTCAAAGTATTTTCCAATAGGGTGTATCCATTTTTCCTCCAGGCAAGGCAGATGTCTATGTGGGAAAGATGACCTTCACTGTGTGAGGGAATAACTCAGTCCAGGAAACTTCTGAGCTTTATTCCCTGCGTCCCCAGTCCTGGGTTCTGCTCTCACAGCTCCAGTCCACTTCACCCTCCGTCAGAATCCAAGGTGGGTGACTCCACAGGGAATTTTGTGCATTGGCCCTTTAAGAGGATGCCCAAACTTTCAGCTGCCATTCCCTGGCAAACAGCACCCCACTGCTTTTCACAGCTAGATGTTATGTGGGTATATTCAATTTGGTGCTCTCTGCTGGGGATTAGATTAGATCCCAGAGTTCTCAGTGGCCACACACACACACACACACACACACCCTGCTTCTCCCTCTGAGATATATCTCTGGGACTTCAGTTGCCATCTGTGAGAGCCTGGCCAGCCCTTTCAAGTCTCTGTCTTTTCTACCAGTCTTTATGCAGACTCCACCTTCTATCTTTGTTTATCAGGGTTCTCTCCTGTGAGTTTTCCATTGGTTATTCAGGAAGCATTTCCATATTTCAGTTGTAATTCCAGCTTGTTTCTGGGAGTATGTCCCTGCAGCATCCTCCTACTCTGCCGCCATTTTTAATTCCTGTCCAAGTGTTTCTTAGGGAGATTTCATCTTTATTGAACTTATACTAGGCTGATTGATGTTCAGAATTTACTTTTAAAACTCTTTATTAGTATATTTATTTTAAAGTAATAAAAGCCTATTACTAAGGAATTTATATGATATTAACATAAAAACCCTATTCTTTTGTCCTTTCCTTTTCTCATTCACAGATGGTAACTATTACTAACAGTTTGGTGTGCATCTTTCCAGATATTTCTTATGCATATGCAAGCATACAATTATATGTACAGTTATTAAAAATATACAAGTACCAAATGTTAATATCCAGGAAGGAAACAGATGGCACACCCAAATAGGGTTACTGAGGAGAGTTAATGAAGAGATTTATAAAGACATGGGCTGAATTAAGGTCAACAGAATGGGCTAACAACAATGTGGCACTATTATGGGTTGGCAAAAGTGGGTGAATAATAAGTAACATAAAAATAAACTCTGTTTTGCCCTGACTGGTTTGACTCAGTGGATAGAGTATTGGCCTGTGTACTCATGAGTCCCAGGTTCAATTCTGGTCAAAGGCATGTACTTTGGTTCAGGCACATCCCCAGTAGGAGGTGTGCAGGAGGCAGCTGATCAATGTTTCTGTTTTATTGGTGTTTCTAACTTTCTATCCCTCTCCCTTCCTCTCTGTAAAAAATCAATAAAATACATTTTTTTTTTAAAAAGAATTAGCTGAACTCATTGTTAGAAATGGAAGAAATTGATTCTGGAACATAAACTGTTTTAGCAATAATACTGGGAAGATTCCAGACCTAGGGAATCCTGAAGATTTGCCAAAGTGTTAGCTTACTACTCAAGTTTTTGATGTGGTACCTATTCTATCACATTCTTTGACTTTGCTGTCTTTTACTTTCTTTATCATCAACTATTTCCACACTAAATTATGTTAGCAGTTAGCATATAGTTAGCATAACTAAAGGTGCTTCCATTTAAAAACAACTTGGTCTCTAACTCAAATGCCTTTCAGCTATCCTTTTGTTCTTCACAAAGGAATGAATGTACTCAGTGAATTGAACAAATTATTTCCATTTTCACATTTTTTAAACTTATGTTGAAGTATAAACTTAGATATAATTTTAAGTGTACAGGTCAATGAGTGCACCTGTGTAATAACCACCCCAATAGAGCTATAGAACGTTTCCACTGCCCTCAAAAGTTTTCCTGTCCCTTTGCAGTCAATCCCCCTTCTCCACACTTGGTCTCAGGCAACCACTCACCGGCTTGCTATTACCATAAATTAGTTTGGCCTCTTCAAGTATTTCATCCAAATGTACTCAATTGAGTTGGTTTCTTTTGCTCAGCATACTGATTTTGAGATTAATAAACCATGTTGTTGCATATATTCTTTTTCTGCATTTTTCACTGCCTATTTATCCACAACTCATGCAAGTCTGGTTTCTGCCTCTTAACAGAATTGTCTTACAAGATTACAACAAGATTACAGATGACCTTCAGGCCACTAAACCCAGTAGATCATTCCTTATCTTGCTTGATCTCTAGAGGGCATTTGACACTAGTGACCATTTCTTCCTTTTCCCTTAACTTTCACAGCACCATATTCCTCTAGCCATTTGTCTTCATTTTCCTCTTCAGTGAGTCCCTTAAATGTTGGTGTTCCTGCCCTAGCTGGTTTAGCTCAGTGGATAGTGTTGGCCTGCAAACTGAAAGGTCCCGTATTCATTTCCGATCAAGGGCACATGCCCAAGTTGTGGGATTGCCAGAGGCAGCCAGCCAATCAGTGATTCTCCCTCAACATTGATGTTTCTATCTCTCCTTCTTCCTTTCTCTCTGAAATCAATAAAAAAAAAAAAAAAAGAAATTGGTATTCCTTAGTTCCCACGTAGGTTCCTACCTTACACTCTGTGCTTTCCAGGGCTTTGATTATCAACAGGCTAACTCCAGTTCAGGCTCCCCTGCTAAGCTGTAGACCTGTA